TCGATGAGGTAATTCTGACAGAGCAGGTTGGACAGGTGCTGTTCCGTTTTGCAGTTGGCCTGGTTCAACGTTCACATGCATGTTTGCGAATGCCAACTATGATGTGTGAGCGGCATGCACCAACACGAGCAGTGAGAGTTATTGATTGACAGATGTGGATTCTTGAAATGTTAAACCAGTGACGAGAATCCGCGATCCGAGACTTCCCGCTTTTATGGTCCACTCTGGTTCCGGAAGTACATTTTCCATTCATTTTCCCCCATAGGATTTTGAAAAAGTCCAAATATAGAAGTTTAGCATCCGCTGTGCAGTTGATTTCAGCCCATCTGAAAAATTTGGGAAAAACTTGGATTAAATGGATTATAAAGTTTAGTTATCCATTTTTAAACATAATATTGTTCAACATAATACAGATTTTAAAATTCCCCTCATAATACTTTACACTGTATTTACATATTTCTATTAATATTTCTATTAAATAAGTAAAATAGAATATCTGGACACAGCTGCCCCAGGACAGAAAAGGCTGCTAATCCGTGCCATCTGCCCCTCAAACCACCACCGATCAGTCACGCACACACTACTCGAGGCAATGTGGGGGAAAGTGTCTTGCCTAAGGACACAACAACAGTTCGGCCCTTTACAGCCGCAGCCGCCCCACTGTGGCACCTGGGTTTTCAAATCCTCAAAACTTCGTTCAATTTGCGGCACAGTGGCTGAGTGGATAACACTCTCGCCTCCCAGCAAGAAGGTCCTGGGTTCAAATACGGGTCAGAACGGGGTCTTTCTGAGTGGAGTTTGCATGTTCTCCCCGTGCTTGCGTAGGTTTCCTCTGGGTACGCCGATTTCCCCTACCACTAAAAACATGCTCACTAGGTTAAATCCTCCAGCTGTTACTACGGCGATCACTGCTCCTGACGTAAGCCTTAGTGGCATCAGGATGGGTCAAATGCAGAGGATGAATTGCCCTACGGGGATCAATAAAGTGCACCTTATTGAGAGATTGTCGATGCTCTCTCCCCTCGGACTCTCCAAGTCCTATCTCAAACCTGGTCATATTTTTAGAATTTCTTTCTCAATTTAGTTTAGCATTACCATTTGTATTTAAATGTTTCTGTTGTGACTTTTTCTATCACATAAAATGTATTATAATTACTATTTCTATTGATTTTGTGTCCTTATTTCCTTCTCTGACATCCGGTAAATTGTAGATTCTCCACAGTCCCACCCTGACAACACTCATGCACATTCACACGGGCGCTCTGCGAGAACAGGCCGCACATCACATCTGTCTCTGCCCTTTATTGTGGAAAATAATGACAGCCTTTAAATAAAGCACACATGCTTCTAAATGGAGCCATATTCCAACTGTGTGTGCGTATGTGCTTGCATGTGTGCCTGTGCATGTGTGTGAAAAAACTCCTGGACTTCTCAAGGTTCCTGTTTGAGGTTGTTGCACAAATTAGAAAGTGGAAAATCGTGTTGAGCTGGTATAGGAAGTCTAAACAGCCAGGGAAGGACATCTCACAGCACAAGAGATCGTCTTACATCATTGTCTTCCATAAGAAAAACTCCCAGATTCCATGTCACTAACTGAATTTGCTCTGGTATAATTGGATACGTACTGTCAATAACGATGCCACACTGACATAATGAGATGACCACAGGATGGGGCAGAGAGTGGCCTTTTATTGTGTTATCATTTTTGTTGTGATAAAATTGACTTGAACATAGAAATGACCCAGAATAGATGTAAACAAAAGGTAAATAATAGTTTGTAGCACTTTGTCAGCAGTGGTCAGTAGAGAGGCGAAACTTAGAATATTGTTTAAAAGTCTATTTACTTCTGTAACTCAACTTACAATATGAAACTAGATTTACTACATGCAGCGTTTTATTATATTCTATTCCATGTAACCATAAAAAATCCCATTGAGATATTTCAAGGCTAGAGAAACATGGTCTTACATGGTCAGGGAAGAAGCCTGTCTCACACTTTGTTCCAGATTTTAGCAGCATGAATCTGAAAAGCAGCCTCCCCATGTTTAGTTCTGACTCTGGGCACTAACAGGAGTCCAGTCCCTGTGCTCCTCAGAGTCCGGGCTGGTTCATATGGGACTAACATGTCACTAATATATTTTGGTGCGAGGCCATGGAGAGACTTGTAACAAGCAGAGCTGTTTTAAAGTCTATCCTCATGAGCCACAGGAAGCCAGTGCAGAGACCTGAGGACTGGACTAATATGGTCGTACTTCCTGGTTCTAGTCAGGACTCGAGCTGCTGCATTTTGAATGTACTGCAGCTGTTTTACAGCCTGTTTGGACAGACCTGTGAGCAGGCCATTGCAGTAGTCTAACCTACTGGAGACAAATGCATGGATAAGAATCTCCAAGTCTGCTTTAGACACTATGTTTTTGATCCTTGCCTTTTTTTAGATGGTAAAAAGCTGCTGATGTTACTGATTTGATGCGGCTATTAAAATTCAAGTCTGAGTTCAGTATTACCCCTAGATTTCTGACCTTGTTTGAAGGTTTTAGGGAGAGAGACTGTAGGTGACAGATGACGCTCCCTCTTTGTTTCTGGGAAAGTGTTGTCTGTGTTTATCTGAAGGAAGTTGTTTTACATCCTCTCACTGATCTGTTGGATACAGTAAAGCAGTGAATCCACTGGTCCTTGTCCACCTGCAGCAAGTGAGACATAAATCTGAGTGTTGTCTGCGTAGTTGTTGGATAAAGACTTTGCATCTAAGTCCATGTACCATGTATACTGGTTTTCACATTTTAAATTCAATTACAGAAAATGAATGAACGATATTCTAATTTTCTAAGTTTCACCTGTATCTAAACGTTTTGGGAATGAGTATTATGAGTCTAAGCAGAGGGTATACTGTTTTGAATGTCCTGATTACAATACTTTATGAACCATCCAAGACTTTCATCTTTTCCTGTTTTGCATATCAGTGGCTATATTGCTTTGCATGTCTGCCCAGAATATAGTCATAGTCACCTCATGAAAGAGCCACAAAAAGCGTTTAAACCTTGCCCCCTTTTATAGCGATGCAGTTAATGATTTTCTATAGAACCTTTGTGATCAGGAAATATTGAAGCGGGACCTCTGCTACAGAGAACCTCATATCTGATTACAACTGACTTTCGTTTCCTGGTAGAGTCCATGATGCTCACAGCCATCTGTCCTGTCGTGTAACATAAGTTTTAAGGCTGAGTTGAGGCCTGAAATGGGGAAGAAAGACAGAACAATGATCTTAGCTGTAACAAAGAGAGGTGAGGTGTGCGGCGGTTGGCGTTCAGGGCGTTCAGGGCGTGCTCGGCTGGTCTCTCTGGATTTACTTGAATGTTCTTGCTAAAGTTATTAAACAAATGACTTAAGCTCAGCCAGACTGAGCCTGCAGAGGCTTGTACATAGGAGTGTGCTCAAGGAGCAAATATTGGATATAAGTAAAAAATAAGAAATGAGACACAACATAGATTATTTAAATTTGGTAATATAATATCTCATCTTATCTTAAACTGAATGTAGATGCATCAACGGTATTGTAGTGTTGTTGAAATGGGGCGGAGCTTCAAATCAGGGGTGGGCAGGCCCTGATCCTTTCATTGGGTTGAGGATGTGATCGATCGGATCAATAAAGAGGAAAGAATTATTATGATCTTAAAAGCCACATACTAGCTTTTGGGTTTCATAAATATTGGATTTCATAAACCCAGCTTGTTCATAAACGTGTCTTTGCTAATCCAACCTTAACCACTGTTTTCTTAACATTCTGACAACACCAGGGCTGTAGTTGGCCAAAGTAACTCTTAAATAATTAGATTAATAATACAGTACAGCCACGCCCCTTAAACATGGGTGTGGCTAAAAAAGAGGCGTGGCTGTACTGTATACAGATGGTTGGTATCCAACCAAAGCTGTACTTCTAAAGTTTATAATCAAAACAACAACAACATTGTTGAGTAGTTGGAGAGCCTGAGAAGTTAGATTTCAATTTGGCTTTTAGTAGAGACAAAAATCTTTTGGTCAATGTCCTTCTCCATATATACATATATATACACGTATATATTTTATGTAATTGGGAAAAAAAATAGTCAACTGGGGCTGGAAGATATTACAAATAACATCTTCCAACAACTAAGACAAAGTTGATTATTTAAATAGTTGCCGACTGGTTTGACTGATACTAGATCTGTACAGTTTAATGACTCCCAACTGAGCTGAAAAGGAAAATGTATAATAAACAAACAACCATTTTAGATATAACTTTGTGTTTGTGGAATCTATTAAAATAAGAGATCTATTGTGTTTTTGGAGATCCTTTTTCCTTCGTCTTTAAGTACAACAAATGTGTCTGAGCTAAACTTATGCTTTTTACTTCTACTGTTAGTAACTTTTAGAACAGTGTGTTTATTGATGTTTGTAGGATGGGTGTGTTTCTGCTGCTGGACGTCTGAATGTCTCCTGTGGGAACCAATGAAGTATCTATCTTTGCAGTACTTTCTGGACTATTGAGCGCACCTGTATATAAATGGCACGAACTAACTGGAAAAGAAAGTATGTTTTGTTCATAGATAGTCCTCATGTTGTAGTGGACACACTGTGATTTACTGGTCAGATGTTTTACTGCACTGTTGACTCGTGATGGACAAAGCACTCTTACAATCTATATTGGCAACAAACTTTCCATCCTTTCTTAAACTCGATGGACTCAAAATAATGTAACATGATCAAAACCCAGGGGGCACTCTTTTCAAATAAAAATATATACATTTGTTAATAAGCCGCAGGGAAAAAGAGCTAGTGATTTGGAGGCAATCAAGTACTGCAATCCTTTATTCAAATAATTGTTAATTACAACCCCATGACCAATAGAAATCTTGACTGAGATTACAGCCTCAGACATTACACGTTTTATAGAAAGAGGGGATTAGAGAGTGATTAGATTGTTTTGCCTGTGTTTGACAAGGTCCTTGAATGGTTTCTAGTGTTTAGTGCAGCTGTGAGTCTCGGTGCTCACATCCCCCATCACGGTACTTTGAGTTGGGTCTGCTGGTTTCTGGGGGCTCCGTCGTACAGGTCAGTGGCACGGCTGTGAGTGCAGGGAAAGAGTGGAGATCAGGTAGCAGGCATGCAGCTGATGCAGTGCTGCAGAGGGAGGATACACCAGCCCCACACTCCTCAAGGGCACTGGTGAAGGACGGGCTCCACAACCTTCAGAGGAGCAGAGAGCACGACCACTCCTGCTCTATCGCAATCATTGCTATATCCACTTATTCTTTCATTATTGATGGATGGAACATGAGGCTCAATATTTGCTATAAAGGGTAGATTTAAATTTAGCAACAGCTGATACTCTATAACTACAGGCAATTAAAAATGGCTTAGTGGGATAAGTGTCTTTATTTTATGGGTGTCAAAGGAGAAGAATAAATATAGTGTTAGTATATCTTGAGGATTGTGACGCTCTGAGGCAGATATACAATACAGGATTAGCTGATTTGTACATTTCTGCAGAAGAAGAAAATAGGAAGCACACAGGTATGCAAAGAATGTATAAAATTTTATCATTATAACATGCTTTAAAATCATGAGAAGTTTTGAAATCACAAAGTGACATGTGGATATAAAGTACAGCAGTGCTACCATTTTTATCCATTTTCCCATTTTCTTAACAAAATATATGCTCCATATAACACATCACACAGAAGAGCAGATCCAAATCTGGGATTCTGCCTCCTATTGTTTGGAGAAATATGCTATTATTTACAAAAAGTATGTACAAGACTGGGTCATCATTCACATGTACACATGAAGGCATTTACAGTTGAATTAAAGTGTGCAAAGATGAGACGCGACCATACAATCTGACGGCTATATTTCGATGTTGACCATTGTCATTTCTCCTCAGCAATTGAAGTACCTCAGTTACTGCTATTGAAGGAGATCAAAGTTCAGGAAACATTTTCTTTACATTTTAAACGATGTGCAAACTCTGTATCACAAATATCCCGATCTTCACTGTAAGGCTCATGGACCAGAAGACAAACAAAACATTCCCTGCACTTAAAGCTATGTCCATGAGGCCATTGAGATGACAGTCACAAAGGAGTCCATGGCCCGGTCTCAGGACCTCTTGAGCTCAGACAACTTCCTCAGCAGCTGCTGGTGTCGGCCTTTGAGTCGTTTCTTCTCCTGCTGCTGCCGTTTCTCCTGGTTGTGCAGCTCGCTCAGGTATTTTGAGGCGTGAGTGAGGATGGCCACTTTAGGGGTCTTGGAGGCCTCCAGTCCAGGGATCTGGTCCCTGAGAGCCAGGAACCGGGAGCGCAGGTCATTCCTTCTCTTCCTCTCCAGGAAGTTGTGGTTCTTGCGTCGGTCTATGTCCTCTGGATCGGAGGTGAGTGAGGCGTCTGAACCGGCACAGCTCCTCTTACACTGTGGCTCATCATCATCATCATCATCGTCCTCCTCTTCCTCCTCTGGCTCACTGTCTGGGGAGCGGGCAGCGTAGTTGTGCTGCTGTCTGTGCACTGACACATGGAAGCGTTTGGGACAGGGGTCTGCTCGCACTCTGATGGTCACTGGCTTTCGGACGTTCATCAGCTGCATTCTCTTACTCTTCTCCACAGTGACAACATCAATCTCCTCCTCATCGTCATCCTCATCTAAAAACACAAACAATTAATATCAAAGATGACTTTACACAACATTAAACAATCATAACATGAAAATGGCAGTAGTGACCGCAGGCTCTGGCTCACTGACCACTATGAGGAAGTGGATTCCTGGCTGCATGCTTCATGGGGGGGAGGCGAACAGGTCAACTGTGACCCACACATTTGTCACGGAGCATCAATCAGCTATTTCTACTGCAGGCTGGTGGCAGGGGCAGTCCCCGATTCAGGAATGTGAAAGAGCCACTTGGTAGATTAATAAATCAGCTGCGCCGCCCCACTGCCGCACTATGATCGTAATGCAGAGGCAGGAGGGGGCGCGGTTTTTAAAACATATCCACTGCAAGCATGTGGCGCATTGAGGAGCATTGAGGTGGCTGCTGCACTCGGTGACCCCACTGCACCGTGGACTCGTTATGCAACAGCCTCTCTCCACATTACGCATTGTTGTAGGGCACTATAATCCAGAGCGGGGCGCAGGGTGGGGCACTTAGGGCAGCACTACTCGGTTCTTACCAGAGGAGTCGGAGCGAGACTCTGAGCCCGACGAAGCCGGCTTCCTGCTGCTGTTCGCGGTGGGGATGGTGAGAACAGCCGCGGGGTCGACGCAGTCTGTGGCGGCGGAGACGCACTGCGCTTTAACGGCTTTGGGCGCTCTCTGCGGGAGCGGACACACGCCAGTGTTCACCACAGAGTTCACCACCGCCGCTGCAGCTTTAGCTCCGACCTTCTCCAGCTGCTTACTGGCGGAGAAGCTGCTCCACATGCAGTCCCGGATGATGATGGAGCTGAGGTTTGCGCACCGCTCCGCTCTGCTGCTCGGGACGTATTCGTCTTCGTGGCCACAGAACTTGGACCAGCTGAGTCTGTCTCCCAGAGGAAAGTGCAGGGCTGGCCCGTTAAAGGTCCGTGTGGGAGACATGGGGGGAGTGGGCAACAGTTCGAACTTTTTCCATATGTCCTCGCTCGGTGCGGTCGACTTGTAAAAATCCTCCTCGGTGTCCAAGCCGTCAAAGAAATAATGCTGTGAACAGTCCAACGCCATAGTGCGGCTGAAGTGAATACAATCCAATAACCCTTTGTCAAGTGAGCCTGGAGAACACGCTGTCCGCCCTGAGAACATAAAACAGTGTCATTAACAGCCGATCCAGCTTCAGACAAAAGTAACAATAGTCTGTGTGAAAGCGGCGCATGACGGCACCAGTGATTGCAGATGCAGGCTTCACATAATACAAGTCTGTGGTGGAGACGCTCCAAGTTTAAACATGACTCTGCACTGTGAGATCACCAACACCTTCAGACTTCGCCACCAAAGTAACTACTGCTGCTTTGTTCCTGGACGTGGGGGGCAGTCATGTGAAGCAGCCTTGACAAAAACTAAAGCCTGCAATACACGTCTCACTGTTTTCCAAACCGATACTAAGTTTGTTTTAAAGCACACAAACACACAAAGAGTCAGAAAGTATCTCACCTTACGGAAAGACGCACAAATCCCAAAAGGAGAAAGAAAAGAAATGGGGTTATCCAAGTAGAGCTGCAGGGAGCCCCGCGCGTCCCAGTGGAATAATCAATATTGTAGTTTGTCTATGGACTGTGATGTTATGTATCGCACCCCTTTAGAGGCATAAAAGCACAGGGGAAGAACTGCAGGTTGTAGGTCCGCCCTGGTGTATAATGAAAACCACACAGTGCGTTTTTCGCGCCAGTGAGATATCCTGTTATAGGCGATCAGAAGTGCAGGGAGGAGCCTCTGTCGCCACCACCAAAAAATCTGCAGCGGTAGATCCGGGTAAGCCCCTCTTTTGCATAAGGGGCGGGGTCAGGGGCTTGGACACGCCCACGAGCGCCCCTGAATGAACAAGAACTCAGTCTGTTCTTATCAATAAGTCTCTGTCATAAAAAGTGTAATATGATCGGGGTGCAGAAGGCGAGGTTAGGGTCACTCCCATTCACTCCAGTGCTCAGGGGATGTGGCCACGAGCACTGGCAAATAAATGTTGTCATCTCTTTGTATGTGTAGCTTTGTATGGAGTCAAGCATTGTGCATTGACATATGTGCTTGATAATAATTACGCTTCTAGTCAAGAATAGTCAAAACAAAGTCTAAAAAGTCTTGACACACACGCCTGCACACACTCACTCTGGCCTTGTGTATCACTGTGTATCATAATTATTGGGATATTGCATTTCTAGTCACCTTTACAATTATACAGATTGTTACAGAGCACTAATTTTACAGCAGAGTGAAAGGCTGAAAAGGTGTAGACTGAAGCTAATACTTATTTGCATGTGTTTTTACAAGTTTTTTTTTGTTACCTGTGCATTGGTTCTTTTCCCATATTTTACATTTACTTTGAGTAAATTCAATCTGCCACGTCAAAACACATTCTCATATGTAATTCTCTAACCATAAACTTTAACCCTAACTCTTGTCTTTTAAACTTTCTGTCACCGTGTTATCCAAGATAAAGTGGAAAGCATCCACTTTACATTAGCTCTGTTCTTTACATTAGTTTCGAAGAGCATTTTTGTGATTTTCAACAAAACCTATAGAAGTGAAGCAGAGCAGTAGTGATTGTGTTGCTGTGTCACAGTCGCCCTGATTTTCATCACAAAAGCCCGAAGTTAAAAGCAGATTGTCCTCATTTACATGTCGAGCGTCGAAAGAAAAGGTAAATGCTTCAATGGCTTAAACAGCAACAAAACATTTTGATAACGATGGTGTGTGTAGAGCTGTTCCCCTGAGTGCAAACAGAGGACCAGCTCTTTGTACACAGGTGCTGCAGTCACCTGAGGAGACTTTACAGTTCAGACAGACACACATCCATAAATAAAAATCAATTGGCCTGAAGAAGACCATTTATTTACTCCCATCTCATTTTCCATTTACACATTTGCTTCTCTACAACTCCAAACTTAGAATTCAATTAAAGGAATATTCAGAGAGCAAGAATGAATACAAACAGGAAAACCAAGAAGCTCAAAAACTACAACAGCTTCCTTTTACACACTTTACACATTTTCAATTAACAAAGCCTCACATGAAGCCAAACTTTTGCTTTTATTGAAATGTTTTTTAATGTCTGTAGTTTCACAGTGAAGTCTATTTGGTGTATGATTTTGAATGATCTTTAAAACAAATAACAACGAATAGATTAAAAAGTAGCGTCTCTTTCTTCAGATCCAAGATAACAGTTAAGGCAGCTGTGTTGAAAGGATGTGAGGAGAGACGAGCCAGTATCCTATTCATTCCAAATCAATATTGACCAAACCTGGAGCCATTACTTAAGCCAGGATTTCTCTCTGGTGCAGGATGTAATTACAAAGGCTCTTATAACCACACTAGTATCATTCTATAATCAAGCATAAGAGATCCTTTATTTATCCCACGGTGGGGAAATGTCAGTGTTGCATCTCCGCTTACAGAACATTAGGGATGAGGAGCAAAAACACAAGATAAATGAAGAATAACTCTGTGGTTGTCTCTGAAATAAAAGGAAAAAAACCTAAAAAGAAGCAAGTTCAACATCTCTTTAGCATAATGAGGGAAAAAATCTAAAATCTCTAACTTTGGCATAATAAAGAAGTATACAATCTCTAACTTTGGCATAATAAAGAAGTATACAATCTCTAACTTTGGCATAATAAAGAAGTATACAATCTCTAACTTTGGCATGATAAAGAAGTATGCAATCTCTAACTTTGGCATAATAAAGAAGTATGCAATCTCTAACTTTGGCATAAAAAAGAAGTATACAATCTCTAACTTTGGCATAATAAAGAAGTATGCAATCTCTAACTTTGGCATAATAAAGCCGTATGCAATCTCTAACTTTGGCATAATAAAGAAGTATACAATCTCTAACTTTGGCATAATAAAGAAGTATACAATCTCTAACTTTGGCATAATAAAGAAGTATTCAATCTCTAACTTTGGCATAATAAAGAAGTATGCAATCTCTAACTTTGGCATAATAAAGAAGTATACAATCTCTAACTTTGGCATAATAAAGAAGTATGCAATCTCTAACTTTGGCATAATAAAGCCGTATGCAATCTCTAACTTTGGCATAATAAAGAAGTATACAATCTCTAACTTTGGCATAATAAAGAAGTATACAATCTCTAACTTTGGCATAATAAAGAAGTATGCAATCTCTAACTTTGGCATAATAAAGAAGTATGCAATCTCTAACTTTGGCATAAAAAAGAAGTATACAATCTCTAACTTTGGCATAATAAAGAAGTATGCAATCTCTAACTTTGGCATAATAAAGCCGTATGCAATCTCTAACTTTGGCATAAAAAAGAAGTATACAATCTCTAACTTTGGCATAATAAAGAAGTATGCAATCTCTAACTTTGGCATAATAAAGCCGTATGCAATCTCTAACTTTGGCATAATAAAGAAGTATACAATCTCTAACTTTGGCATAATAAAGAAGTATACAATCTCTAACTTTGGCATAATAAAGAAGTATGCAATCTCTAACTTTGGCATAATAAAGAAGTATGCAATCTCTAACTTTGGCATAATAAAGAAGTATACAATCTCTAACTTTGGCAATAATAAAGAAGTATGCAATCTCTAACTTTGGCATAATAAAGCCGTATGCAATCTCTAACTTTGGCATAATAAAGAAGTATACAATCTCTAACTTTGGCATAATAAAGAAGTATACAATCTCTAACTTTGGCATAATAAAGAAGTATGCAATCTCTAACTTTGGCATAATAAAGAAGTATGCAATCTCTAACTTTGGCATAAAAAAGAAGTATACAATCTCTAACTTTGGCATAATAAAGAAGTATGCAATCTCTAACTTTGGCATAATAAAGCCGTATGCAATCTCTAACTTTGGCATAATAAAGAAGTATACAATCTCTAACTTTGGCATAATAAAGAAGTATACGATCTCTAACTTTGGCATAATAAAGAGGTATGCAATCTCTAACTTTGGCATAATAAAGAAGTATGCAATCTCTAACTTTGGCATAATAAAGAAGTATGCAATCTCTAACTTTGGCATAATAAAGAAGTATACAATCTCTAACTTTGCCATAAAAAATAAGTATACAATCTCTAACTTTGGCATAAAAAATAAGTATACAATCTCTAACTTTGGCATAATAAAGAAGTATACAATCTCTAACTTTGGCATAATAAAGAGGTATGCAATCTCTAACTTTGGCATAATAAAGAAGTATGCAATCTCTAACTTTGGCATAATAAAGAAGTATGCAATCTCTAACTTTGGCATAATAAAGAAGTATACAATCTCTAACTTTGGCATAAAAAATAAGTATACAATCTCTAACTTTGGCATAATAAAGAAGTATACAATCTCTAACTTTGGCATAATAAAGAAGTATGCAATCTCTAACTTTGGCATAATAAAGAAGTATGCAATCTCTAACTTTGGCATAATAAAGAAGTATGCAATCTCTAACTTTGGCATAATAAAGAAGTATACAATCTCTGACTTTGGCATAATAAATAAGTATACAATCTCTAACTTTGGCATAATAAAGAAGTATGCAATCTCTAACTTTGGCATAATAAAGAAGTATACAATCTCTAACTTTAGCATAATAAAGAAGTATACAATCTCTAACTTTAGCATAATAAAGCCGTATGCAATCTCTAACTTTGGCATAATAAAGAAGTATGCAATCTCTAACTTTGGCATAATAAAGAAGTATACAATCTCTAACTTTGGCATAATAAAGAAGTATGCAATCTCTAACTTTGGCATAAAAAAGAAGTATAAAATCTCTAACTTTGGCATAATAAAGAAGTATACAATCTCTAACTTTGGCATAATAAAATACTGTATATTCTAGTGCAAGAAATATTAGTGTTGTGTAAACATCTGCAGTGACCTGTTACGTGCAATGATCAAACACCAGTTGCCCTGAGCCTCAGGCATTTTTCAGAAGCTCAAAAACATTTAAAAAGCAGCAGAGGTCAAAGAGCACTAACGTCTCATGAGCAGACCTTATGGCCCCCTCCTCATAAAGCTCACTTTGTCCCATCACATTATT